AATTTTTTTCTTATCTTTCAGAATGTATGTCCCAGGTCTTCCTACAGCAAGGTACAGGAAAGGGAGTAGTTAAGAAAATAAATCTCGTTTTGTTCCATTTTGTAAGAAGAGGCATATAAAGTATACATACATAGACGTAGCTAGCTCTACATACGCAAAAAGCACAACTTTTTTATGCGTGGTTATTAGAGACAGCCCTCAGATTACAACACTTTATACCTTATCTTTGGATGACATATGTGAACAACTCTTCTATGTGCCCACCTTAAAGAAATCAAATGCTAAAAAAATTGAAACAAAAAGAACACTCACACAGACACTAATAGGCATCTCTGATTTGCTGGTCTTCTGAAAAATAGAACCCAATATGTCCATGGATGAACGCTCCCCTCAGCCCCGTGCTCAGCTGTGAGATCTGGGGTTGAGGTTCACTCAATACTTTTCCAGCAGAGTCTGGTGCTCCAATGACTGATTTAGGGGCTAGTGAGGACAGCAGAGGCTCTAGGTCTAGCTAGACAAGAAACCCAGCAGCAGCACCCCACAATCACCATGGGGACAAAGAGGGACAATTATCTCCAGGTGAAGCAAACAGAGGAAGCTAATGTGAGAAGCAGAATGACAGAAAGGAGGTATTATTTGAATCCCAGGTTTTGAAAAGCTCATTCGAACATCTGTCATTGGATGATAAAGCAACTCATTTTCTCAATTTATTTTAATTCAGGTTTTCTGTTTCTAGCCATTGTTTATGTGTGTCAAACAGACCAAATAACTGGAAGTAACATAGAATTTAATTTTTAAAAGCTCAGTGAATCAATTTCACATGTGTATTTTTTCCAAAAGTATTCTATTAAACATTCTGGACTATCCCCTGCTTTTTCACTAATTATGTTTGGTTTTGTAAAAAATAGAAACACGAAAAATTGGAAGCAAAAAGAAAAAGAGATCAACAAAACCAGAACTAAAAATATAGAAATATATCCAATTGCTAACAGAAATTTGGTCATCAAGCAATTCAGTGGAGAATGGAGCTTATTCAATAAATGATATGGAAGCATCTGGCTACCTACAAAAATAAAGACACTGAGGTCACAAAATTAACGCTGAGGTTATCTATCTATCAGTTAAGTCATCTTTTAACTGCAGAGTTAAATGTAAAGAAAGGAGAAAAGGGAAGGAGAGGAAAATGAAATCACAAAAGAACTAGACAAAAATACAGTAAATGTCAGATCCAAGGTATGAAAAGGACTTCCCAGGCAAAATACTGAAGACAGAAACGATGAGAGCTAGCTAGGCAGCAGTGAGAAGATGAAAGAAGTCTCCATAAAGATAAAAGAATCTGTATTTCAAAAAATGCCATCAACAAAATGAAAGGTTAATGGAAATATGGGGAATATATTTCCAGTATATGTAGTAGATTATGATACTCCTAATGTATATGAATTTTTCAGAAGATAAAGATGATAGCTTCAAAAGAAAAAACATACTTATTATAAATCTGATAAGCAAAAGTTGACTGTCTGCTACCATAAAATGTGCAGGAAAAGAGTCAATAAAATAGATCCCTATAGACAAAATCATACAGGAAGTTGTGTGAGGGTACTTAAGAATTATACTCATAAAACCCCAACTCATGATGTAATAGAGATCTAAATTTATGACAAATGACCGAAATTTATATAAAAGCCAAAAAAATTAATGGAATCTAAGCCATTGGAAGATAGTCAATAAGTCCTCTTTAATCATTACCGTTAGTGCTGAGATTTGATTTTTGCAGTATGACAGAGCTGACATGAAAATTAATGATTTTATCTATACCTTGATTAACATTTTATGATTTTGTGAGTTTAGCACTGAACAGAAATAGGGTGATTTTCCACTAAGAAAATAAAATGGCACCAGTCAAACAAACAAAATGAAACAATTTCTCTGTGTTTTTAGCTAACTCAACAGTCATTTGTCAAATTATTTTAAAAATATTATTCAACGATATGTAGTATTTCTACAATGATTTGATTTAAAAAAAAAAAAACAAACTATGGCTATATTAACATCCATTTAAAAACGATCTGACTTTGCTTTCAGCTAGTTCTTTCAAAACCTTTCTCTGCTTAGTCCCAAGTATGATTTACATATTAACTATGCAAAGTCCATCTGGTACATATTTATTGTCATAAAGCTAGACTGTAAAATTTAAAAATAAATATGTTTAAAAGGAACAGACAAAAAGAAATAAAAACAAACCCATGAAATCTGACTGCAGAATTAAGGCTACCAGCTGGGGATGAGAGGGTATCGAAACAAAGGAAGTCGAGGGACCCACTGGACTGTGGTGGAAGATCATGGGTGCCCTGGTGGCAAGGGTAGCATGGTAACACACATCTGAACAAGTGTGAACCTGTATCCCTAAATCACAGTGTTGTAAACCAATACCACCTCCATGAAAAATGATATCTAAAAAAATGTTTAGAATGTAGACTTTCAAACATACAAAACCTAGTAAGATTAATAAAATTTTAAAGCATGGCATGAGTTTGTGTTCAAAGAACAAAGGTAAACTATAAGTTAACATATATATCTCTCCCAAAATGTCAATCAGATTTTCACTTGCTCCATTAGATGTTTCCAGTGCAAACAGTGTTTCTCTAGAGCTAATACTATCTTAGCAATATAATATCTTTCCACAGAACAATGGAGCAAAACATTAGGATCATTCCTGAGAAAATTCCCATTACCAGTTTTTCATGTTATTTTTCCTGAAGGTTCAACTCCAAGTCAAACCAATCCTTACGAAAGTAAAGTCAAATTACAGTTTATGCTAAAAAGTTTATCATATATACAGCTTACAATAGAAAACAGGCCTGGCCAAAGGACAGCTTATATCCTTTCTCAAAAGAAGACATACAAATGTCCAATGGTCTAATGAAGAAAGTGCACCAGTGGAATTAGGCTAATGCAAAGCAAAATCACAATGAAATACTACTCTGCATACTTAAAAGCACATAGCTATTATTTTTGATGGAAAATAAAAAGTATTGATAAGCATGGGAGAAAAGAAGCTTTTTACGTTGTTTACATTTAGACTGTAAAATGATGGAGCTGCTTTGGAAAACAGCTGGGCAACTCCTCAAAAAGTCACACGTTGCCCGTGCAAAATGAAATGTACTTCCACAGAAAAATTTGTCTATTAACATCATTATTCATAATAGTCAAAAAATGTCCATCAGTTGGCCCCTCCCTGGTGGCTGGAGGGTTAAAGCACAGCACAAAGAGGCTTAAGCCACTTCCGCATGACTTTGATCCTGCCTGCCTGGGGGAGGAGATCCACAAGGTGGGGCAGACCTCTCTCCTGACCACCCGCTGCTCCCCTCAGCAGTGTACTTCCTCGATCTGCCGGTCCTGCTCCCCGCTCTGTCCCTAAGAATCCTCTTACCTTCGGTGTCTCTGGCCTGTACCCCAGGTCTGTACGAATAAATAAATAAATCTTTAAAAAAAAAATGTCCATCAACTAATGAAAGGAAAACACTAAAACATGGTACATTCATTCAATGAAATACTACTTGGCAATAAAAAAGAAAGAATGGCTGATCTATGCCACAACAGCAAAATCTAAGCCAAGAAAGCAGCAACGAAAGGTCACAGGTTAGAATTCCTTTCAAATGATGCAGAAAATGCAAATCCATGGAGACAGAAAGTAGACTGGTGGTTAACAGAGATGGGAGAAGGGAAAACTAATTGTTAATATATATAGCTTCCTTCTGGGGTAATAAAAATATTTTGAAATTAGATAGTGGCGATGATTGCACAAGTCTGAGTATACCAAAAATCGATGATTATACACTTCAAAAGAGTGAATCTTATGGTGTATGAATTAAATCTCAAGAAAACCGCTAATAAAAAAAAACTGAATACATTAAAAAGCATAATACAGAATTATAATAATATATACGAAGAATGACATATGAATCTGTTCATTGTATATTTCATTAATAATACCATGACTGTGTTAGGAATCAAAGGTTCCTGTTGGTGATCTTAAGGGTGACACTAGCATTGAGAGAGCATATTTATACAGCACTTTAATTTAAAAAGCTATAGAGTGAAACACGGTTATCTCAGAAAGCTTTTTCCAAAATATACGTAATTCTTAAGAAGAACTAAAGTGAAACCAAAATAAACCACCAATTTCATCTCTCTACAGAGTCTGAATTGTCTGTTCCTTCGTATTCATGGTTCTACTTCTGACTATTGGACTTGAATCACGAACTCAAAAGCATGGCGCCTGAAACCCCTGTTGTAGAATAGTTCAGATTAAATACTCGATGTTAAAATTACAGAACATTAGAATAACAGAATTACAGAGAGGGGCCTCATGTAATCATTTTCTTCTCCTTTTAATCCATTCCAGTTAGACTCACATGTTCCAGAAATGCAACTGTCTAACAATTTGAAGTTCTGAGAGAAAAGATCAAATACTTCTTTTTGGAATGTTCATTCCTTTACTTGAAAATAGAAAATTTTGTTTTAAATAATCACACCAACTAAAATAAAGAGACAGGCCAAGTAGGTCCAGACAAATAAGTAATAGGAAAACATTAGGTCTATGACCATCATATGCCCAGCCAACATCATTTTAACGTCAAACAGCAACCAGGTACCTTGACACTAGCAGAACATAAAAGCCCTTTCAAAAAATAAACTTTACTGTATAAAAACTCAGGAGAAGAGCAGATACAAACCCTCACCTAGCCATGCAGTCTCAACAGCACAAGCCTACAACTGTCCTCTCAGCCCCGAGATACAGCACGGGGGTGGATGGCCTCCATTCAGATGCACCTCCTGCACTGCACCACCTGCGGTAATACATTTCATCATTTCGATCTTCCTGAGAGTAATAAAAGCCTGAATTCTAGCACACCGAGTCTACGGCTTACAAGTGCTGGCGGCGCAGAATTCTTTGCTGCATAAGGCTGAGGGACCCGCCGTCACCTCGTATGCCATACCTGGTATGCACTGTGCTGTGGCCTCGGTGGTTATGGTCGGCGCGACGGGAGGCTGCTGCTGGCTGGAGCTCACTTCTGGCTCTGTGTTAACGGAGGGGGAGAGGGCTACCTCACAGGAGGAGACCTGGCCAGGCAAGTGGGGCAGGAACTCTTCAGAGGCAACTTGCTCATCCTGTCCAGGCAGCTGCAGGGCAGACAAAGGGATGCTGATCTGTTTGTTGGGGTGAGACGTGCTCACAGGCATCTGCATGGCCATCTGCTGGCTAGTGCCATGGGCTCCAGGAGGTCCTCTGTTTGGCGAGGCCAGTGATACCCTGGCAGTCTTCTGAACAACCGGTCTGGACATCACAGAGGGGGATGCAGACACACCGTGAGGCTCAAGCTCGGTGCCAATGGCAGATGTTACGTGGGGAATCAGCTTAGCCGACCCCACACAAGAGGGGCCAGCATGGGTCTGAGGCTTGGGTTTTGCCATCTGTGTCAAGGACAGGGCTGGCCCATCTGCCCCTCCTGTCAGCTCTGCATTGGCCACAATGTAATAATCTTCGGGAATCTCCTGTTTGATTTTTTTAATAATGACATCATTGCTACATTCATCAACCATCTGAGTCTGGGAGCTTGAGTGGAGAGAAGATGGGACTAATCCAGGCCTTTTTCGAGTGATGCTTTGAGGTCTTTGGGTTTGGGGTTCAAAGTCACTATCTTCATCTGTTACTGAAGACTCACAAACCATGTCAAACAGGGTGTTGTCATCTTCATATTCTTCAACAGCTTCGTCCAGCTCAGAGGGCTCGCTGCAGTAAGAGAAGTCACAGGAGTCTCTGGTCCGATTGCAGTCTAGCTTGGTCTTCACTGGACGCCCAGGGTACCTTTCAACAGGGCTTGTTTGTGTCTCAGACGGTACACCGATTATGCTGGGACTATCAGAATTAAAACTTCGGTTATCCTGGAAACACACCCTTTCTTGGGACCCAGCTCTGCAAGTAGCTGTCAGTGGCCAGTGGTAAGCGTGCCCGGCACTGCAGCCCCACATCGCAGTCAGGTTCCCATGGGAACCTTCCGAAAGCAAGTGTTTCAGGTTTGGGATGAGGCTGCAAATAGTCCCATGGCTGTGGGCCCAGCTGACCAACTTGGACAGATTCTCAGATGAGGTATGAAGGCAATCCTCCATGTTACAGGATCAGCAGTGTCTTTCCTAAAGAGAAATAATCAAAATTAGAAGCCATTATTACCCCAAATATTCCCATAGCTCAATTACTTCAATTTCCTTGAACTATGAGCATGTGGCATAAAAAACAAAAGCCCTGGGCCCTCCCTGTGGCACAGTAGGTTAAAGTGCAGCACTGTGGAGCTGGCTACAGCCACTTTAGAGTTTGATCCCCGGCCAGGGAGGTGACCCACATGGCGCGGCAGACCTCTCCTGACCCCCCCGCTGCTCCCCTCAGCAGTGTACTTCATCAATCTGCCTGTTCTGTTCCCCACTCTGTCTCTGCTGAATCCTCTCACTGCCCCTGCACCTCTGGCCTGCACTCCAGTTCTGTATGCACAAATAAATTTTTTAAAAAATAAAAGAAAAGTCCTTTGAAACGCTGTCTAGTTAGTATCACTGCATGTGGGAAGGAACAGAAAGAGAATACAGGATAATGAAAAGAGAGATTTTTAAGGAAATTTTTGCTAGATTACTTTTACAGTAATAAGGAAAGAGGGAAGGAAAACATAGGCAACAAAAAAGAGATGAGTCTTTTCATGGTACAGCTAACTTCCAGCATTCACAAGAGAGATTTCAACAGACCCTGAATAATAAAAAGTGTGGATTATCAACCTAAATGCCCAAAAGATGACTAGATTAAAAAGATGTGGTACATATGCACAATGAAATATTACTCAGCAATCAAAAAGATATTCACATGCCTTTTGCAGCAACATGGAGGAAGCTGGAAGGGATCATGCTGAGTGAGATAAGCCAGAAGGAAAAGGAAAAATACCAGATGGTTTCACTCACAGTGGGAGTATAAAGGACCAGGGGAGAAAATAATAATAATAATGAACAACTATATACTAGAGACATTTTATGGGGATGGAGTGGGAAATGGGATCAAAAATGGGGGTAGAGGGGAAGTGCACTGGACTATGGTGATGGTACACGGGTGATCTAGTGATGGGAAGCCCATGCAGATTAGATTACACAAAATGATGTAAAAATAAACTATTATTTTTTTTAAAAAAGTATGGATTATATACATCAACCAAGGGGATGCACTCCTAACTTCCCCTCAGCCACGAGAACTTCAGTGACAGAGGCAGAGCCAACAGAGAGGCTGGATCCTGTTCCAGGACAGACATCACCCTCTGCAAGCAACAGACAGCAGTAAGCTGTGCCCTAAGGAGAGAAAAAGGGGCTGCATTTAGACAGGAGAGAAAGGATGGCTAGAAAAGTCTTTAGCAGAGAACAGGCATGAAGAGACCCTAGGGCACCCTAGCTGGGGTCAAAGCAGAGGCAGGCAACAACCACAGTGAGCTAGCTGTGTTGGCATTGCAGACCCTTGTCAACCTCAAAAGCAGACTTTCCAACTGCTCGCTGTCTGAAATTTCTGAAATACTGCTTTTCATCTCATAGACATGGCCGGCATCCCAGTATTTCCATGCAAAAATAAGCAAATATATCTTTACAAAACAGAGTTGGTCAAAAGACACAGTTCTCTGGTCAATAATATGTAAATGTGAGTCACTGGGTGACTCTACAAAGCCACTGTGCAAAAGACTCTGATCAAAATGTTGAATTAATATGAAACAGAAAAGTTTCCCTGCAACCTAAGCCCAACAATACCGCATAGTATGTAACACGTCCAGATAACATGTAACATGTCCAGATGCAAGGAAGGAAAAAGTCCAGGTAAAAAAGAAGCCTGCCTGCCTTGATAACTGTTTAAAGTATTTAAGAAAACATGATAGGTTAAACTGGAGTAAACAAAAGAAATTTAAATGGGTTGAGTGCCGCTGTACATGTTTTAAAGTTTAAAGATTTAACCTCTTAGACTTACAAACTAGCTGTGCCCTCTGTCCTTCCTCTTCTTGTCTGGAACAAGGCCAGGATGGCTGGAGTTCTAGAGGCCTCCTGGGAGTATGAACTAGGAATTCCAGGATGGGAGAAAAGAGTTTGGGTCCCCAGTGATACCCCGGAGCTCAGACATCAATGGTGAATTGCCTAGGATTCCTTGTTATGCAAAGGAAAAACGACCCCCTAATCTTGTTTTGAGGATCTGATTACACAACAGCTGAACTCAATTACTAATAGGCTAAACAAAATACAATCATTTCTGAATTTCTAAATCTTAGAGAAGAATCCTAAATTTTCTGTGTATCATACTCCAGTTCAAATGATTCTCAATAGTACTCCACAGATACATTCTTGGAAGACCTATATTCTATGTCATGATATTTATAAATGTTTTCATTTTAATCATAATAAAAACTACAATTAATGTAAGTATACTATGAAGCATCTAAACGACCTTGTGAAACTACCACCATGTAATTGCAGGGCCCTTTTCCTTTGTATCTATACTCGCATGGAATCACTTAAAGTGACATGACTCAACTCTCCAATTTGTTGGGAAACCTGGTCACACTGTGTATTCTTTTTTTTTTTAAAGATTTATTTATTTGTGCATACAGCACCTGGGGTACAGGCCAGAGGTGCAGGGGCAGCAAGAGGCTTCACCAGAGACAGAGCGGGGAGCAGAACAGGCAGATCGACGAAGTACACTGCTGAGGGGAGCAGCGGGCGGGCCAGGAGAGGTCTGCCACGCCATGTGGTCACCTCCCGGGCAGGCGGGAATCGAACTCATGAGGAAGTGAATTTAGCTTCTCAGTGTTGTGCTTTAACCCACTGCGCCACCAGGGAGGGCCCACACACTGTGTATTCTTTTTAGCAGAGATAAATACAAACCTTTTTTTTATTAATAATTTCAGATGAAAGGCATCATGAATTGACATAAAAAATGGTATCTGTGATAACAGACACAGGTTAGTAACAAAATGGGGTTGGAATAAATTATATATATTCATAGACAGGAAATAATAAAAATGATGGAACAATATTTGAATGAAGATGTTGTAACAGCTCATACATGTAAAACTGATAGAATCAAAACAAAATTGTGAGGGCAAAGAACTTAAAAATATTTTACTGTCAGGCAGTACTGACTTACTGGACACACTCAAAAAAAAAAACATAAGATGAGGTGGACACAAATTTTAATTTGGCTAAAAAACTTTTCCACTTAATTCCACATTAATCACCAATTTTTAAAGAACCCCAGGCAGTACTAGCAAGTCACTTCTGAGTCACTGGCAATCTCATAAAGAGGCTCTTATACTGTCCTTATCAAAAATGAAAATATTCCCCCACTGTTACTATTAATATATTTCAACCAGGCAAGCAATGTTAACTGGTAGCTAGGAGGAATACACTGGTCACACTTCAGTGGAACAAGGTGTCCAGAAACAGACACACCTGATTTTCAATGAAAGTACAAAATTCACCAGGTAAATAAAATCTTTTCAACAGATGGTGCTGGATCACCTCGATATGCGTTTTTAAAAAAAACCAACCTTTCATTGTACCACACATAAAAAAGGAACCTAAATCTAAAAGGCCTGAAACTAGAAAACTTTCAGTAGAAATCACTGGAGAATATTTTGTGTGAGCCTGGAAGTAGGCAAAGGTTTCTTAGGATGCGAAACTCATCACCAAAAAGTGTGGTAAATTGCCATACATCAATTGTAATGGAACATTAACAGAGATAGAGAAGGTATCCATTCAACTTGAATGCACTCTACATTAAGTTCCTTTAAGTAACTTTCAGTGCTTTCAAATGAAACTTGGGTATGGCCAAAACAAATGGTGATGATGTCTGAACAAACACTAGTGACTGACAAAGCTAGAAATAAAATGAAATAAAACAGAGCATGGGAGGAATGGCTCCCTTAAAAACTGGGATTAATGGCCCTCCCTGGTGGCACAATGGGTTAGGATGCAGCACTGCAAGCTGGCCACATCCACTTCAGTGAGTTTGATCCCCGGAGGTGACCACATGGCGCGGCAGACCTCTCCTGACCTGCCCGCTGCTCCCCTCAGCAGTGTACTTTGTTGATCTGCCTGTTCTGCTCCCAGATCTGTCTCTGGTGAAGCATCTTACTGCCCCTGTATCTCTGGATTGTACCCCCAAGTTCTGAATGAATTAATAAATATCAAAAAAAAGTAGGGGAAATTAAAAAAAAACTGGGGTTAAAGTTATTATATTTTTCTTATATACTGAGAATAACATATACTTTCTATTTTACTTTTCCACTAATTAAAACACTTAGAATCTAAGGAGTATATTATATAAATATGGTTAAAAAGCTTTTCAGCAGATCTTTATATAATTCCCATTTAAAGATGTAATCTATTATGTATACAAAATATAGAAAAGTAAAAAACAACTGGGATTTTTGCCCCAAATAATGTGTAAAGAAAAAATTCAATATTAATGCATAAAAAGAAAATACTACTTATAATTAAAGGATGGAAATTGGGCATATTTTACAATTCAGGCTGGATATATTTCCCAAAATTTAAAACACATCTATTGTTGCAAAAAATTATATGTAAATTACATAAATTAATACAGGTATTAAAAGCAGGCTTGCAAATTAAGGAATTAAGAGAATATAATATTTGTCTTCACTTAAGAGTATTAATTTTCAAATGTCACAAGCACCATACAATTTATCACATAATTTTTAGAAACAGATAAAAATAAAATATTTTACACCTAGCAATTAAAAAAAAAGTAAAACCACATACGGGCCCTCCTGGTGGTGCAGTGGGTTAAAGCAAAGCACTAAGAAGCTAAAGCCACTTTAGCATGAGTTTGATCCCCAGCCCTGGATGTGACTCACATGGTGCCGCAGACCTCTCCTGTCTTACTGCTCTTCTGCTATAGCAGTGTGTTTCAGTAGATCTGCCTGTTCTGCTCCCACTGTCTCTGGTGAATCCTCTTACCCCCTATACATCTGGGGTGGAGGGGTGACATCCAGTTCTTGTACGCATAAATAAATTAAAATAATGCTTAAAAAAAAAAACACTAGTGTAGAGACTGGAGTTATGCAGCCAAAGCCAAGGAAAACCACAGGTTGTCAGCAAACCAACA